CCCCCCCCCCCCCCCCCCAAAAAAAAAAAAAAACCTCGGAAGAAGGAGCACTTCCGGCACAACCAGCACTGCTCTGCCGTTCTAAGGAAAAATTCCGTATAAGCCTCCAAGAGTTCCCAATTTTCCTCTCTTAACGTATTCTCTCAGAGTAAATCATTGATTTTTAACAGCGTAGTCATTTATTAACGTAGATTATGAACTTGTCTGAAAAGTCAGAAAATTTGAGCACCCAATCCTCGGGATCAATCTTTGGTTGTGCGTGGGTATTGGTCTGTCGCACCTGGCCGGAGCCTTTCCTACCAATGGCCCGGTACGACAGGCGCATCGAAGCTTGTAAGTCCTGTAGCATGCAGCGTCACGCGCTTGCCATCCGGTAGAGCGCCTTCAATTTTTCCGTACGCAACCCGGACATCCTTCAAGCACGAATAGTCGCATCTACGCGCCGTAGCCTCGCCTGCAATTCGTTAACGTTTGCGGTCTTTCAAGCTCGCTTAGATTGCTCCCTCTGGGGATGAACTGGCTCCAAGGTGGAAGTTTTAACTCTAGCATCCAGGTTAATGTTTTGCGTGATTCGAATCAAACATTGAAATCGTAGTAAGCTTATCCGTCAAAAATTAAATGAAAATTTCTTCAATTTGATTTCTGAAAGCAAGCCTATCGAAAGTTTTAGCCAATATTCTCACCAGTAAATGGACTGAGTATTAACACCGTGCAGTCTTTTTAAAATTTAAAAAAATCTTATCAATAAAAATGTAAATTTCTGTTAAAAACTAGGATTCGATACCCTATTATCAGAATAATTATAATTAAAGTAGTAGAATCAGTAGTAGTGGATTCGCACTAAGCAGCATTTCCAAAAAATGATGTTGACAGTAGTTTTGAGTTTAACTAGTCGTAAATTTTCCGGCGTGAACACTCGGCGCGACAGCGAAACTCCCAATTTTATCACGTTAAAGTCGCATATCCCGAACAATACAGCGTTAAGTGACGAGGTTTGGAACACTTTAAACCAAGACCTAGACGGGGAGGTGGGGGGGGCAGATTGAAAGTGGTGCCGAGGAGAGGGGGGGGCAAACTTTAATTGGAACCTAACGGAGGAGGATAGACTAGCGCAGTATAAAGTTATTAAACGCGAGCTCTTGATATTAGCGACGTTAAATGCTAACGAACAGGCTCCGGCCCTGACGAATTTCGGCGAGATTTCGGATTGCACCGTGGAGAAATCGTATAAAATTGTGGATTTTGTGGGGGGAAAGGCAACGTTGCCTCACGCTCGTGCAAGGATGATGGGCCGCTGTCATTGTTGCCTCGGGCAGATTTTGAGAGATCCCCGAGATCGGAAGTTGAACGAGTGCGGAACTTTAATCGAAGCTCCCTACTACTTAACGTTAACGGCCGTCAAATTCATTCAATGCATCGATTACTTCTTCCGAAGAAGCTGATGTTGCATTAAAGACAGTAAATGCCCTTCTTTTGGCCCCGCAACTGATTTTCACTATTTAAAGTCGTAAGTGGGCGGATTTAGCGAGGGGCCTGTAGCTACATCCCATGTTGCCTAGTTTTCAAACGTATTCTTTTTTCTTAATGCTCTTTTCTTATCTTAATGGAGAACTTGCATGCACATTTTTTATTGCTTCATCTGAAAGTGCTTAAAAAGCTGATCTCACAGTATTTTTTATAATTTTTTTTCTGATATGGGAAATAGTATAAAAATGTATTTAAAAGTCAGAAAATACACCGCCTAGTGACGTCATCTGGCGGCATTTCCCATTTAAACACGTGTATTTAAGCAGAGTAGATAATTTTGTCATATCTTCTCCAATAAAAGTGTTTAATTCATGACCCAAGGGTATCCTCGTGTTCAGTCAACTCAGTAATTTCCACTTAAACACGAAATTCATCCAATTTCAGACACCTGCAAATTCTCTATTTTTTTCACAAGAAAACTGACATATGTATAATGTTTTACTGCTCTCTGTGATTTTTTTCTGTGATTATGAAGATTACAATGAAAAAATTGAAAGTAGAGAACCTATTGCTCGGTTATATCGCCAAATAATAAATCATGAGAAGAAACCGTGGCTTAGTTAATGTTGTTACTAATGTTGTCCGTTCAACTAATAACACACAATATCGGTGAAATTTTGATTTCAGCGACCTATGTGAGCTGTCACTTAAATCAACAATTCAATTCGACGTGAAACAAATACGTTCTAATAAAATATAACTTATCGCGAAAACCATTGATGCTCCTTGATTATTTAGCATGTCGTAAAATAGTCCTCCTGTAATAAATCGTAACATGAGAATGTTCATTATTTGTATCACTTATTAACGGAGGTTTAACAATTATTTAAACCGCTTAAAATTTGCTTCATCATAAAGGCAATAATATAATTACCTGAAATTTTTCTTACGTGACAGTATTTTGCACCAGTGAATCAAAAATTCGAGCTATCATCATTCGATTCGATATCTTTCTCACTGAGTTAGTTAGTTTCTTCTGAGTTAAACACTCACAAAGCGACGAAGATGTGCGATTACGTGCTTTTGGAGATTCATAAGGCTGCATACACGGCTAATCGTTCGGAACTTCGGACGTATCATATGCGACAAGATCTTTCTTTTCTGAGTTTAAAACCCCATAAAGCGAGAAAGTTGTGTGGTTACGTGCTTTTGGAGATGCTTAGGGCTGCATACCCGGCTACTCGGTCGAACGCATCATGCTATTCGAGCTCTTTCACTTGTAAGTTTAAAACTCACTAAGCGCGGAAGTTGTGTAATTACGTGCTTTTGGAGATTCTTAGGGCTGCATACCAGCTTATCTGTCAAGCTCATCATTCGATTCGATATCTTCCACTTGAGAGTTTAAAACTCACAAAGCGACAAAGGTGTGCAATTACGTGCTTTTGGAGATTCTTAAGGCTGCATACACGGCTAATCGGTCGGACGCATCAATTGCAACGAGATCTTGAACTTGTGAGTTTAAAACTCAGTAAGCGCGGACGTTGTGTGGTTACGTGCTTTTGGAGATTCTAAGGGCTGCAAATACGGCTACTCGGTCAAACGCACCATGTGAGACGAGAACATTCACATGTGAGTTTAAATTCACAAAGCGCAGAAGTTGTGTGGTTACGTGCTTTTGCAGATTCTTAGGGCTGCACACACGGCTACTTTGTCAAACGCATCATTCGATTCGAGATCTATCACTTGTGAGTTTAAAACTCACAAAGCGCGGAAGTTGTGCGGTTGAGAACCACTGATGCTCCTTGATTATTTAGCATGTCGTAAAATAGTCCTCCTGTAATAAATCGTAACATGAGAATGTTCATTATTTGTATCACTTATTAAAGAAGGTTTAACAATTATTTAAACCGCTTAAGATTTGCTTCATCATAAAGGCAATAATATTATTGCCTGGAATTTTTCTTACGTGATGGTATTTTGCACCAGTGAATCAAAAAAGGTGGGTAGAAGGCATCCAGAAAGAGATGGGGAGATGCCAGCTTTCGGAAGATCTCTGTCATGTCGATGATTTTTTTGGCAGTTTGGCGTCGCAGAGCGCCCAGTGCGCTGTAAAAGTGACTAATACGTACAAACCAAAGAAAAATTCGCTCGTGGTGATATTTGCGCTATTTAGGTACACTGTTTTTAACTCATTTGAAAAAGGTTTGAAAAAGCTGCATTCAAAGTAAAGACGAGGGAATTCGACTTCAAAATTTGTACGAGATTTTACACTTTTTCGAGTTACTTCGATTATTTCAAATGAATCGGTTGTTTCTAAAAGGGAACAGGTCCATTCCTCGACGAGTCTTCAGCATATCCTTTTATGTAAGCCAACACTGAAAAAAACGGTGCTTGGCTCAAGCTCAAGCATGATGATTCTTGAATTTACCGCCAAGATTTTTTTCATATTGATCTAAGCTTAATTTTTCTTGATACAAGAAAAATAATGCTTGGATTAAGCAAAAAAGTAGTTTAAGTTAAGCAGCCAAATTCTTGATTAAAGAAAAATACTTCTTAGTGACGAATTTAATATTTTTTTTTTTCAGTGATGCACTGGAAAAAGAACACATTGGATCTAGAGTCCAGACTCTTGGAAAAATTGACAAGAAAAAGGACTCTTGATTCAATCAGATTTAAGCTTATTCAAAAGGAAATCCGCTCAAATTAAGAGGCTTGGTTCTTGATTTAAGCTTAAATCTGATTGAATCAAGAGTATTTTTTCTTGTCGACGTTTTTAAGAGTCTGGACTCTAGATCCAATGTGTTTTTTTCCATGCAGTGTGGCTTATACAAAAATGTGCTTGTTCCCTTTCGAAAACAACGCATTCAAATATTTAGAATGATGGCGAGCGATTCACCATCGGAAATCTATGGAAAAATTGAACAAGGCGATGCCGTGAAGCACGGTGCCCTTGTAACACGAGTCTTAGCGAGGCGCCCTTCCGACGTAGGGTCGCCGGTCGTCTCAAAATCTGCGCATCATTAAAAACTTCATAATTTATACGTGTTGATGACGCCCTCTGGTGTTGGCGGTCGTACCATCCGTCGCCCGGCTGACAAAAGAGCGTAACTGCACACGTAGATGAGCCCGGAGAAGCATTGAATTGTATGGACGACAGGGTTCGTTGCAGAGTTTAGTTACGCCCTTATGCCAGGAGGGTGACGCATTGTCGCGGTTCCTCACGCCCAGAGGAACTGCGCCACCGAGCCCTTTGAGTTTGACTTGCCGTGCCTCAAAATAGAACTAATGAGCTAAAACTCCATCAATTCATTATGCATGCAACATGCAACACGAACTACCCTCCGTTCGAATAA